AACTTATATAATTAATTTATAAAGTTATAAATCCTTTTAAGTAAAGGAGATAAATAAAAGAATAAAGAGTATAACTAGAGAGACTAGGTAAGGCTTTCTATAAGCTAAAGCTAAGTTTATTACCTTAAATAAATCTATTATTACTTGTTTTAGTTTTAATTATTACACTTTCTATTAAGGTGTCTTTACCTATAAAGGAAATACAAATAAAGGAGGCGCCTTCTTCTAAACGTAGGTTAAAACTAAAAAAGATTAAAGTAATAAAGGAATACTAGGTTCTAGCTTTTAATCTAGGAAAATAAATAAGGGATATTAGGTTTAGTATTAGTATTCTATAACTTCTTTAGCTAGCTTTTATCTTATAGTAGTAAATAATACACTTAATATAGTATTATAAGAAGCTAAAGAGTAACTTAATTAAAGCTATTATAAATAGCCTTATTACACCCTTTTAAAATATTATTAAACTAAAACACCTATTTAAAGCACCTATAGTGTTAAGCTATTTTAATCTTATAGCTTATAATAACGTAATTAAGCTAAAGAGGTAAGTTATATTAATACTAGAATATATTATTACTTATTTAAAAGGGTATTAATCTAGTTTTATTTTAGTAAATAGAGGATTAAGTGTAAAACTAATAAGTTATTATTTTATAATAAAGTATAATCTCTTATTAATGTAATTAAAAGGAAAGAAACTCATTTATATAGTAAATAATATAGAATACTTTATTATAGCTTATACTTATATTAATATAATAGTAAAAGGAATTCTAGCTTTAATAAAGTTTTATATTATAAAAGCTTAATAGAATTAAAAAGTGCTTTTAAAAAAGACTTAATTACATTAAATATACGTAATAAAGTCTTATATAAAAGTAAATAAAGAAGTTTATAAACGTATAAAGGAAATAAAGTTAAGAAACTTAAAGTTAAAAAAATAATTACTACGAGTAATTATATTAGCAATTATTTACGGGAATTACTTAAACTTAGTAATTATAAATTAAACGCGAATTAATTAGAATTAAACTTAAAATAAAGACTACTAAAATAGAATATTACTTAATATAACCTAAATAACTTTTATAATCCCTATAATTAAACGTGTAACGGTGGCTTAGGTTCTAAGGCATAGTAGGTCTGTTTCTTAGGAAGTAAGTTAGGTTAAATGCTATAGAGTAGCTTTTAAGTAGTATTATAATAAGGCTATTAAGAGTATAACTCTTAATAGTAAAACTATTACTTAGATTAATTAATAGAGATCTAGATTATTTAACTTATAGGAATACCTCCTCCTTAAGTATTCGTTTATCTCTTTATTATAATCCTAGATTAAACAGATCCCATTTAATCCCCCGTGTTAAATTAGGTTAATCCCCTCTAATCTATTAAGTTAAATTAGACTAATCCCATCTGATCCACTCACGTGACCTGTGATCCCGTTGGGCCTTATTCTTGTTTACATGCTAGCGGCCTATAATACTAGCTAATTGCTTTAGGTACCCTTGGTTCGTAATATAATACTCCTCCCTTATTAGTCTTATTCTTAAGGCTATTTCGTTTTATTTAATAAGTATTCTCTTTCTTTCTCTTTTTTCCCTTTTTTCTTTCTTTATTATTCTTTTTATAATATCTTTTAACCGTGTTTTAAAACAACGATCTTACCTTAACTAGAAGATTAATCGTAAACGTCTTTCCAAGTTTATATCTGCCTTTAGCTTCGTTATACCTTCCTGTAATTCGTGTTAAAAAAATAATTAAGAGTGTATTATCACTAAAGGGAAAGACAAGTGTAGCGAATACGCTTTATGTGGTTATATTAGCTGTAATTTAAGCGGAACGTCTTTAAATGCTTATAATCGTATCCTTCGTAAAAAGGATTATCTTAATAGAGAACGTGCTTTAGCTAAGAAGAATTTAAAGCGGGCGATAGCTCGTTTATAAAGGATTCGTTATTAGGAGAAATTTTTATGATAAAAGGCTACGAAGATAATTGCTTATAGTATAAAGAGTCTAAACGAGTTAAAGGCCTAAAAGCGTTTAGAGTTAGAGTCTAATATACTTAATTAAACACTTAAGTTTCTAGTAAACTTAGGTTTCCCTATTTCTAATAAGTTTTTATTTTCTAGTGGAACTATTTAAGCAACGTTAAGCAGTTCGTGAGATTCTTAGCTGGTTCCTAGGTGTTTTTAGAGTTTAAATATCCCTTTTATTTAATAAGATAATAATAATTCTTTATATCTCCCTATACTTTGCGTATTCGTTTAACTTTATATTCGTTAGATTAAAAGGCTTTTAATAAAAGAGAATTTTAGCCTTTATATTTAATAATATATACTAAATATATATTTATTATTATATCTTAGAGAAAATAACTTATAGAGCGTTTTTAAGTGCTTTATTAAAGTTAGTTATAATAACTTTAAGCGCTTTAATTTCATATTAATTTTAAATTTAATTAAAGGCTAGTAAAATCTATTAAAAGGCAAGTTTATTCTCTTTTATAATAAGGGTAAATATAACGTTTACGCTAGAGTTTTAGTTTATAATAGTAATTACCTAAAATAGGTGTAATTTATAATAGTTAGTCTTATAAGTATTATTTATGTAAAGAACTTAAGGGAAAACTTTCTATTTATTAATATAAGACTTATAAGTTTAAATAATTAATTTTAAATAACTCTTATTATTATATTTAATAACGTGTAATAAATTTTACTCTTTAAGTAGCTTTATAACCTATTATATTAAAGAAAATCTATTAAGCTTTTTTATACAAGCTTTTATAACTTAATTATAAAGGTTTTTATAGTGAAAATAAACCTTTAACTCTTTCTTTTTTATTATATTATAAATAATATTACTTATCTTATAAATTAAAAGAGCTTAATATTTTATAAGGTTTATAAGATACTCTTTTTAATTAACTATAAACCTTTAATATATTAGCTTAACTAATAGGTTAAGAAATTAATTATAATTATACTAATAATATATAACTTTATAGGTTTAAACCTAATTTATATTCATTATAGTAATTATTAGCTAAAGCTTAAACTTATAGTTATTCTTTTTAATAGTAGCTTATTAAATTTCGCTCGCTTTAAATAGCCTTTTAAGGCTATAATAATATAAAAAGCTATTATAATAAGGCTATTACTTTCTATTAACTTTAATAAACTTAATTATAAAGCTTTTAATAAAGGTAATATTATTTATCTTACCTTAAGCTTATAAATTATTAAAAAGTTAATTAAAGTTATTATAAGCTCTTAATAGTAATATTTTAGGAATTAAGCGGCTAAAATCTTTATTATTAGGTAGCTTAATAACCTCTTTAATATTAAAGGCTTTAAAGGTAAAAGGGTTATTAAAAAAGGGTTTAAGCTATACTTTAAAAAAGATATTAAAACCTATAAATTCAAGTAAATAATTATTATTTATTATAAATATAAAAAAAGCGGTATTTTAGTGTAATTATAAGGTTTAAAATTAAGCTAAATATCATGTAATTTAGCGATATTATTATAAAGTTATAAAAAGGCCGCTTAAGCGGCTACAGCTTAATTTTTTAATGTTATGTGATAGCTATAGCCTGATTTTTTATTATTGTAAGGCATTTTCGTGATAACCCCCTTATTGCTAGGGTAATATATGTGAAATTGTATAGCGGGGCGTGGCAGGTCAGGGTGTAGGCCCAAAATCAGGGTGGGGCGGTAGCACGAATAGCTAGGGTTGGTAGCACGATTAGCACGACCCCTCTGCAAAGTACTCAAGTAGATACCGAACATGGTTGCCAGCGCGCGAAGAGAGAATGGACATTCCAGACTCGGATGGTATTGACTAGTAACTACTCCGTACTAGGTACCTAGCTTAGTTTAGTACCTGGCAAATGGGTATCCACCTGCCCTCAGCACCACCATGGAACCTTATCATCGACAGACACCTCCAAACCACCTCCCTCATAATAGACTCTTAACCTCCAGTCCCCAGACTCTTGATTCCAGACCCCGCAGTTGACCTCGACGCTGAGCCATGACTACTCGAGAAAATTCAAACTAGTTAGCTCAGCTCGGCCTTGGGGTTGCTGGACGATATTGGACCTCGTCAATTTAGCTCCGCCCCTCCTCTTCCTCCCCTTCCTCCCCGCCTCGTTGCTCTCTCACCTTCTTCGTCTTTGTCGCCGTCGGCATCATCCTCGTCTAACCCAAGCACTGTTTAGTGTCCCGACTGTAGCGTCTCACACAAGTCATGGTCCCAACGCCGAGAAATCCCACCTCGTGGGACGAATACGAGGGACGGGCCTCCCCCTCGGGAAGCCTATGGTCAAGCGTTATAGACGAAGAAGCTTCTTTTCTCGACAGCGATGGAGACTGCACTCAGCCGCCAATTGACCAGCACGACCGCAGGAGGTGTGTCGATCCGGATTCAACCTTCCCCCTCCTTAGAGTCCCATTGTCTTGGCGCAAAACTCCATGACTAACTCCCGGCGTTGTCTTCACCTCACTAGGTCCTCTGTGACAACCCGGCTCGCGGCAATGGCAGACATGGGAGGAGTGAATAGCTTCAGATCCTTCGCCAGGAGTTGGCAGCGTGCCGCGTCTTTTGCAGAAGTTATTCCCCGCCGCCCAAGCTTTATTCTTCCAGCCGAAGCAGAAACCGTTCCTGTATCAAGTAGTGATGAAATCCAATACAGCCGCAGCGCCGTTGACAGCCAAGCCCCACCACAGGCAGGATTGCTTAGGCAACACCTGGGAGCATCAGCGCCCCAGGATTCCGCTTCAGTCGAGACTATTCCCGACTCTGGGATTGGCGTGGGACCTGCTGCAGGTATCCCGCAAGAAGACTTCCGGGAACGAGAACGCGAAGCATTCGATAGTGAAATGGCATCGGGTGCTCTCCTTGATGGGTCGCCGTCGACTCGGTCCAATATCTTCGCCGTACCCCCACACCTGGCGACGCCCTCACTCATTGGAAGTTATGGCTCACAGTATGGCACCATGGGTGCCCGCAGATACAGATCGCGGTCCTCAGCAAGCTATGAGAGCACTTGGGGAATGCGCGGTGATCGTGGAGGCGACTATGATGATGACGTTGCCCTCGGCGAGGAACAGCCTATACTGGTCAAGGAGATAAAGCAAGGTGACAGAGTGGTTTTGACCGTCGACGGCCAGAGCACCCTCCCGCAATCAATTTTCAACTCCATCAATGCAATCATCGGGGTCGGCTTACTGAGCTTGCCGTTGGCATTCAAGATGAGTGGGTGGATACTTGGCTTGTTCATTTTGACACTTACTGCTGCCGTCACCTCCCATACAGGAAAGTTAATTGGCAAATGTATGGAGTACGACCCCAGCATATTAACGTACTCAGATTTGGCGTATGTTGCCTTCGGAGCCCGGGCTCGAGTCATTGTCTCAGCATTGTTTACTCTGGAGCTTGTTGCAGCATGTGTAGCCCTAGTCATTCTTTTTGCTGACTCTCTGGATCTTTTGATGCCCACTGTGGCCAACACAACCGTCTGGAAGTGCGTTTGTGCTGCTCTCATTCTGGTTTTGAATATGCTCCCTTTGCGATGGCTCAGTTACACCAGCGTCGTTGGCATTTTTTCTACATTTTGCAGTAAGACACCCCTTTTCCGTCACACATTTATAATTCTACCTCTTTTGTATGGCCAGGGTGTAAAAAGGGGGGGGGGCATGCTGTCTTGCTCTAGAATGCTCTTCTAATATTTGACACTATAGTTGTTTGCATTGTGATAGTTGACGGCCTAGTCAAGCAACATACTCCGGGATCCTTATGGGAGCCAGCAAGAAGTTATCTCCTACCTTCCAACTGGCTTTCCCTTCCTCTGGCGTACGGGCTCATGGCCAGCCCATGGGGTGCCCATTCGGTTTTCCCCTCTGTAAGACTTGCAGCCGTTCACTAGTGCATGAATTTCCAAGGTCGCTTGACTCACGCAATGTCGATAGATTTATCGAGATATGAGGCATCCTCACAAATGGAGCAGGGGCGTCAATGTTACTTTTTCGTTCTCTGTACGACCAACCTCCTCACCCTAGCTCGCCACCTCATTTATAATGTCTTCATCGTGTTCGCACTATGACCAGTTTCTAACCTTGCGTATGCTTTAGTATGCCCTCGACACTTGCCTAGCCATTGTTGGTGTTCTCATGTTTGGCGACGGCATAAAGGAAGCAATCACATCAAATATTCTCAAAACACTTGGCTATCCCGAATCTTTAACCATACTGATGTGTATTTTCATCACAATAATACCCCTGACCAAAATTCCACTGAATTCGAGACCTCTAATCACAACGGTTGATGTGGTTTGTGGTCTTCACAGAGACCCTCTTAACCTCCAGTCCCCTCAGTCGGGATCGGACGCTCAGTTATCGACCCTCACAAATATATTGAGAGCAGGCGTCCGGGTCCTAGTTGTTCTGATCCTTTTGGCTATTTCTGTTCTGTTTCCAGCGTTTGACTCCGTCTGTGCTTTCCTCGGCGCTGCACTCTGCACGCTTATCTCAGTCATCTTGCCGATTTGCTTTTACTTAAAACTGTATTCAAAGGACATCGCCAAGTGGGAACGTATTGCATCTTGGATCTTACTGATTACTTTCTCCATCTTTGGATTAGTTGGCACAATTTGGACATTCTTGCCTAAACAACTCGTAGGCACCTAGGGTAGACCAGAAGAATACCATGTAATGTATTGTCTCCTCAATCGTTGAATGATCGATCATGGGTCTTCGCATGTCAAGTTATACATGCACGGCGGACTGCCCATCAGTAATATTACCTACCTTCACCATAATACCAGGAACAATGCTCCTATAAGCAATGTCTTTGCCGGTACTCTGATGTTTTTAAAAGCTTGGTTTGATTGTCACAGGTAGTCTAAGTCAAATTTGAGTGGGTAACTTCTGGTATTATCCTAACTAAATTTTCGAGCGATTCGATACTCAGAAAGCGAGACAAGGCTCACATTGCGTACTCCTAGTCGCAATTGCCCAGTTTCAATGTCCTGCAAGTCCGAAGAAGCATTCCATGGGCAATGAAACAGCTCCACTAGTCCTTACGGGTGAAGTGTGCAATTGACGTGGCATCAAGTGACTTTGAAGAGGGCCATGTTGACGACTAAAATGCAGGTGACCATGACTACGATTGACAGCTGAAGAGAACAAGTCCCCTACCAACCACCAACCCACTCAACGTCCCCGAAATCATTGCGCTTGTGATCTCGGCGCCAGTTCCAATCTCTTCCCTTATTCCAAGGGCATTCTTTGGTTCGATCTCTGCCCCAATTCTTACTCATAGTGGTGTTGTTGTTGTTATTGTTGTTGTTATATGTTGAATAATCCCAAACGCCGGCTTCATAAGATTTATATCCAAAACCAAATTGACGTCGCGGCTTCAAGCCAGGCGACTTTTCCATTTCCATACCAGAGCCCTGACCCCTCCGACGCTCACCCAATGCAGCCCATTTGTCGTAGTTGAATCGTTTGGATGGAGGAGAGTACCGTGGCGTGGTTGACACCAGCTTGACTACAGGAGAGTCCTGGAAGAAGAACCCATCCGCAACCAGGTCATCATCCACATTCCCCTTAATGGTAACATGAGAGGTGGGAGGAGAGTCTTGATTGTCAACCTTCTTCACCTCGGTTCTACTCTCATGGCTCCATGTCCTGGAGTTAAACTCCTGAAAAGCCCTCATCTGTTCTTCCTGTTCTTCCTCGTCCTCATCCCACATGTCACTCCAGCTTTTGGAGACTGTGTCTTTTCGACGGCCAAATACGGTCGACATGGACAAGGCAAGGGGCTTCGCCATTGTGATTGGCATCGACCCAGCAGCTGGGGACACGTTGGGGCGATGAGGTTTGTTGATGGCAAGTGATCTCATTGACACATTTTAATTATAGAAATACCTTCTCCTTAAGTACTCGTTTATCTCTTTATTATAATCCTAGATTAAATAGATCTTATTTAATCCCTCATGTGCTAAATTAAGTTAATCCCTTTTAATCTATTAAGTTAAATTAGACTAATCCCATTTAATCCCCTCACGTAACCTGCGATCCCGTTAGGCCCTATTCTTGTCTGCATGCTAGCGGCCCATAACGCCGGCCAACTGCTTTAGGTACCCTTGGTTCGTAACATTAGGCTAATAAAATATATTCTTTATTTAATTCTAGATAAAATTAAATTCTTTAATTTCTTATACGTAAATAAGTAATTTAACTATTAAAATAAGGCTATTTAAGCATTTATTAAACGCCTTAACTTTCGGGTTATTATTATTATTATTATCGTTAAAAGGCTTTTAATAGAAGAGAATTTTAGCCTTTATATTTAATAATATATACTAAATATATATTTATTATTATATCTTAGAGAAAATAACTTATAGAGCGTTTTTAAGTGCTTTATTAAAGTTAAATATTATAATAAGGCTATTAAGAGTATAACTCTTAATAGTAAAACTATTACTTAAATTAATTAATAGAGATTTAGATTATTTAACTATAAGAATACCTTCTCCTTAAGTACTCGTTTATCTCTTTAGTATAGTTCTAAATTAAATATTATTTAATTTCTCGTATTAGATTAGGTTAATCCCCTTTAATCTATTAAGTTAAATTAGACTAATCCCATCTAATCCCCTTACGTAACCTGCGATCCTATTAGGCCCTATTCTTGTCTGTATATTAGCGGCCTATAATACCGGCTAACTGCTTTAGGTACCCTTGGTTCGTAATAAATTATACGTGAATAAATTATATAAAGTTTAATAATAATACGTAAATAAATTATATAAGATTTCTAAAGAAATTTTATATAGTATTTTAAAGAATAAGGCTTATCTAATATATTTAATATATTAGCTTAACTAATAGGTTAAGAAATTAATTATAATTATACTAATAATATATAACTTTATAGGTTTAAACCTAATTTATATTCATTATAGTAATTATTAGCTAAAGCTTAAACTTATAGTTATTCTTTTTAATAGTAGCTTATTAAATTTCGCTCGCTTTAAATAGCCTTTTAAGGCTATAATAATATAAAAAGCTATTATAATAAGGCTATTACTTTCTATTAACTTTAATAAACTTAATTATAAAGCTTTTAATAAAAGTAATATTATTTATCTTACCTTAAGCCTATAAATTATTAAAAAGTTAATTAAAGTTATTATAAGCTCTTAATAGTAATATTTTAGGAATTAAGCGGCTAAAATCTTTATTATTAGGTAGCTTAATAACCTCTTTAATATTAAAGGCTTTAAAGGTAAAAGGGTTATTAAAAAAGGGTTTAAGCTATACTTTAAAAAAGATATTAAAACCTATAAATTCAAGTAAATAATTATTATTTATTATAAATATAAAAAAAGCGGTATTTTAGTGTAATTATAAGGTTTAAAATTAAGCTAAATATCATGTAATTTAGCGATATTATTATAAAGTTATAAAAAGGCCGCTTAAGCGGCTACAGCTTAATTTTTTAATGTTATGTGATAGCTATAGCCTGATTTTTTATTATTGTAAGGCATTTTCGTGATAACCCCCTTATTGCTAGGGTAATATATGTGAAATTGTATAGCGGGGCGTGGCAGGTCAGGGTGTAGGCCCAAAATCAGGGTGGGGCGGTAGCACGAATAGCTAGGGTTGGTAGCACGATTAGCACGACCCCTCTGCAAAGTACTCAAGTAGATACCGAACATGGTTGCCAGCGCGCGAAGAGAGAATGGACATTCCAGACTCGGATGGTATTGACTAGTAACTACTCCGTACTAGGTACCTAGCTTAGTTTAGTACCTGGCAAATGGGTATCCACCTGCCCTCAGCACCACCATGGAACCTTATCATCGACAGACACCTCCAAACCACCTCCCTCATAATAGACTCTTAACCTCCAGTCCCCAGACTCTTGATTCCAGACCCCGCAGTTGACCTCGACGCTGAGCCATGACTACTCGAGAAAATTCAAACTAGTTAGCTCAGCTCGGCCTTGGGGTTGCTGGACGATATTGGACCTCGTCAATTTAGCTCCGCCCCTCCTCTTCCTCCCCTTCCTCCCCGCCTCGTTGCTCTCTCACCTTCTTCGTCTTTGTCGCCGTCGGCATCATCCTCGTCTAACCCAAGCACTGTTTAGTGTCCCGACTGTAGCGTCTCACACAAGTCATGGTCCCAACGCCGAGAAATCCCACCTCGTGGGACGAATACGAGGGACGGGCCTCCCCCTCGGGAAGCCTATGGTCAAGCGTTATAGACGAAGAAGCTTCTTTTCTCGACAGCGATGGAGACTGCACTCAGCCGCCAATTGACCAGCACGACCGCAGGAGGTGTGTCGATCCGGATTCAACCTTCCCCCTCCTTAGAGTCCCATTGTCTTGGCGCAAAACTCCATGACTAACTCCCGGCGTTGTCTTCACCTCACTAGGTCCTCTGTGACAACCCGGCTCGCGGCAATGGCAGACATGGGAGGAGTGAATAGCTTCAGATCCTTCGCCAGGAGTTGGCAGCGTGCCGCGTCTTTTGCAGAAGTTATTCCCCGCCGCCCAAGCTTTATTCTTCCAGCCGAAGCAGAAACCGTTCCTGTATCAAGTAGTGATGAAATCCAATACAGCCGCAGCGCCGTTGACAGCCAAGCCCCACCACAGGCAGGATTGCTTAGGCAACACCTGGGAGCATCAGCGCCCCAGGATTCCGCTTCAGTCGAGACTATTCCCGACTCTGGGATTGGCGTGGGACCTGCTGCAGGTATCCCGCAAGAAGACTTCCGGGAACGAGAACGCGAAGCATTCGATAGTGAAATGGCATCGGGTGCTCTCCTTGATGGGTCGCCGTCGACTCGGTCCAATATCTTCGCCGTACCCCCACACCTGGCGACGCCCTCACTCATTGGAAGTTATGGCTCACAGTATGGCACCATGGGTGCCCGCAGATACAGATCGCGGTCCTCAGCAAGCTATGAGAGCACTTGGGGAATGCGCGGTGATCGTGGAGGCGACTATGATGATGACGTTGCCCTCGGCGAGGAACAGCCTATACTGGTCAAGGAGATAAAGCAAGGTGACAGAGTGGTTTTGACCGTCGACGGCCAGAGCACCCTCCCGCAATCAATTTTCAACTCCATCAATGCAATCATCGGGGTCGGCTTACTGAGCTTGCCGTTGGCATTCAAGATGAGTGGGTGGATACTTGGCTTGTTCATTTTGACACTTACTGCTGCCGTCACCTCCCATACAGGAAAGTTAATTGGCAAATGTATGGAGTACGACCCCAGCATATTAACGTACTCAGATTTGGCGTATGTTGCCTTCGGAGCCCGGGCTCGAGTCATTGTCTCAGCATTGTTTACTCTGGAGCTTGTTGCAGCATGTGTAGCCCTAGTCATTCTTTTTGCTGACTCTCTGGATCTTTTGATGCCCACTGTGGCCAACACAACCGTCTGGAAGTGCGTTTGTGCTGCTCTCATTCTGGTTTTGAATATGCTCCCTTTGCGATGGCTCAGTTACACCAGCGTCGTTGGCATTTTTTCTACATTTTGCAGTAAGACACCCCTTTTCCGTCACACATTTATAATTCTACCTCTTTTGTATGGCCAGGGTGTAAAAAGGGGGGGGGGCATGCTGTCTTGCTCTAGAATGCTCTTCTAATATTTGACACTATAGTTGTTTGCATTGTGATAGTTGACGGCCTAGTCAAGCAACATACTCCGGGATCCTTATGGGAGCCAGCAAGAAGTTATCTCCTACCTTCCAACTGGCTTTCCCTTCCTCTGGCGTACGGGCTCATGGCCAGCCCATGGGGTGCCCATTCGGTTTTCCCCTCTGTAAGACTTGCAGCCGTTCACTAGTGCATGAATTTCCAAGGTCGCTTGACTCACGCAATGTCGATAGATTTATCGAGATATGAGGCATCCTCACAAATGGAGCAGGGGCGTCAATGTTACTTTTTCGTTCTCTGTACGACCAACCTCCTCACCCTAGCTCGCCACCTCATTTATAATGTCTTCATCGTGTTCGCACTATGACCAGTTTCTAACCTTGCGTATGCTTTAGTATGCCCTCGACACTTGCCTAGCCATTGTTGGTGTTCTCATGTTTGGCGACGGCATAAAGGAAGCAATCACATCAAATATTCTCAAAACACTTGGCTATCCCGAATCTTTAACCATACTGATGTGTATTTTCATCACAATAATACCCCTGACCAAAATTCCACTGAATTCGAGACCTCTAATCACAACGGTTGATGTGGTTTGTGGTCTTCACAGAGACCATCGCAATCCCCACCATCATCAGTCGGGATCGGACGCTCAGTTATCGACCCTCACAAATATATTGAGAGCAGGCGTCCGGGTCCTAGTTGTTCTGATCCTTTTGGCTATTTCTGTTCTGTTTCCAGCGTTTGACTCCGTCTGTGCTTTCCTCGGCGCTGCACTCTGCACGCTTATCTCAGTCATCTTGCCGATTTGCTTTTACTTAAAACTGTATTCAAAGGACATCGCCAAGTGGGAACGTATTGCATCTTGGATCTTACTGATTACTTTCTCCATCTTTGGATTAGTTGGCACAATTTGGACATTCTTGCCTAAACAACTCGTAGGCACCTAGGGTAGACCAGAAGAATACCATGTAATGTATTGTCTCCTCAATCGTTGAATGATCGATCATGGGTCTTCGCATGTCAAGTTATACATGCACGGCGGACTGCCCATCAGTAATATTACCTACCTTCACCATAATACCAGGAACAATGCTCCTATAAGCAATGTCTTTGCCGGTACTCTGATGTTTTTAAAAGCTTGGTTTGATTGTCACAGGTAGTCTAAGTCAAATTTGAGTGGGTAACTTCTGGTATTATCCTAACTAAATTTTCGAGCGATTCGATACTCAGAAAGCGAGACAAGGCTCACATTGCGTACTCCTAGTCGCAATTGCCCAGTTTCAATGTCCTGCAAGTCCGAAGAAGCATTCCATGGGCAATGAAACAGCTCCACTAGTCCTTACGGGTGAAGTGTGCAATTGACGTGGCATCAAGTGACTTTGAAGAGGGCCATGTTGACGACTAAAATGCAGGTGACCATGACTACGATTGACAGCTGAAGAGAACAAGTCCCCTACCAACCACCAACCCACTCAACGTCCCCGAAATCATTGCGCTTGTGATCTCGGCGCCAGTTCCAATCTCTTCCCTTATTCCAAGGGCATTCTTTGGTTCGATCTCTGCCCCAATTCTTACTCATAGTGGTGTTGTTGTTGTTATTGTTGTTGTTATATGTTGAATAATCCCAAACGCCGGCTTCATAAGATTTATATCCAAAACCAAATTGACGTCGCGGCTTCAAGCCAGGCGACTTTTCCATTTCCATACCAGAGCCCTGACCCCTCCGACGCTCACCCAATGCAGCCCATTTGTCGTAGTTGAATCGTTTGGATGGAGGAGAGTACCGTGGCGTGGTTGACACCAGCTTGACTACAGGAGAGTCCTGGAAGAAGAACCCATCCGCAACCAGGTCATCATCCACATTCCCCTTAATGGTAACATGAGAGGTGGGAGGAGAGTCTTGATTGTCAACCTTCTTCACCTCGGTTCTACTCTCATGGCTCCATGTCCTGGAGTTAAACTCCTGAAAAGCCCTCATCTGTTCTTCCTGTTCTTCCTCGTCCTCATCCCACATGTCACTCCAGCTTTTGGAGACTGTGTCTTTTCGACGGCCAAATACGGTCGACATGGACAAGGCAAGGGGCTTCGCCATTGTGATTGGCATCGACCCAGCAGCTGGGGACACGTTGGGGCGATGAGGTTTGTTGATGGCAAGTGATCTCATTGACACATCCAACTGAGAACCCAGGATAGACGACATAGACGGAGTTTGGATGCTAGCCGAGCACCAATCAACAGTCTCACCGGACTTGGAAAACAAGTCTTCAGTGTAACTCTCATTGTCAGGAATGGCACTCAGCTGTCGAGTCTGAGGATGCGGGCTGTTGTGAAGAGCCTTCGCCCACGGGAAAGCACCAGTATGGTTATCAACATGAGGACTCTGGATGGACGGAGTGCGAAGAGGCTCACGGTTGGCAGACGCAACCGTTGCCTTTTCTGCTCCACAGAAGTCGTCTAATGACTCATCCTCAGTAGTGAAGCTCACGACGCGAAGAAGAGCGTCACGGGCGCCTTCCAACGATCGTCTTCTGGGGTCTAAATTCATGCAATGGACAATGACCTCGTATGTGTCCTGTGACATAGCCGGAAATACGTCGAAAAGGCTCTGCTTGTCGCGAGAAAAGTCCAAGAAGAGTGGATCCGCCTCAGTTGGTGTAGTGAAGGGGTTGCGTGAGAACAGAATGTTAAGCAAACAAATGCCAATGGCCCATATGTCTGCCTCAGCAGGGGAGTATCCCGCGCCGGCAGAGTCGAATTGCTCCGGAGCCATATAGCGATCGCTACCAACAGTCATCTCGTACGACCATTTATCTTTAGTTGCAAGACCGAAGTCGCCGAGCTTCACTGCACCATCCTGGGTGAGAAAGATGTTTTCAGGTTTGATGTCGCGGTGATATACACCCTTGGAGTGAATGTACGTGACGGCATCAACAAGCTGTAACATGAACTGTCGAACATGCTCCGTCTGTAGAGGCCCATGTCCATTCCTGATCGCTTCGTACAGGTCGCCCTGAGAACAAAACTCCATGACAAGGTAAACGTGGGCGTCCGTCTCAAACGAGTGCAGCAAGTTGACAATGTTTTCGTGAGATCCGAGATTGCTGTGGAGAGCCAGTTCTTCAGACTTGTCATCAACAGCAAACTCTAGACCAGCTTCGCATGGGGTAGCCTTCTTGGTCAAGCATTTGATGGCCACAGTTTGGTTCGTCATTAAATCCCGGGCCATGAAGACCATGCCGAATGACCCGTGATTGAGCGGTGAAATTGTCTCATAGCGACCATCGAGAAGAACACCACCAACAAACCTGTCCCTGAGACACTCCATGATATTGAGGCGAATATAAATATTTTTGAAACTTCAAAAGAAAAAAACCCGCAAGAAAAAGCAACGCGTCGTGACACAAGCTGTGTAGTTGTACAAGTGAGCTTTGTTCGGTTTGTACTGGCTCCAGGGAGGCAGATACAATCTTCGGTAGACGTCAAGAAAAGAACCCGTCCTTCTTAGGTTGTGTGCACAATGAAGGGGCCCAGTTGAAGGTGAATAACTTGTTCGAGAAATAGTGTATGATGAGTGGAGGACAGACGAATGTAGAAAATGTACAAATAGTGCAAACAGGTGCAAGCAATAATGGATCTTAGTATTCGCGTAGTTGAATCAACGGCTCATTTGCAAGTATGTAAGATGTGAGGACAAAAGAAATGCGTATTATCAAATCGTCGTAGCGAAGAGGCGGTAGGAGCCGAACGGCTCGAACTTGGACAAGAAGCAAGCGAGAAAATCGTTATAATGACATGGAGGATCGTGTTGTTGATGAAACAAGAAATAAAGAATGCGGCCCGGCAGTGAGGCAGAATGTCTTTGACAGCCAATGGAGTGCTATCAAATTGTTCACAAGGCGAAACTCTGTTGTAGCGACCGGAGAATATCGCAGACAAGCTTTTCGGGCCGAATGAATTGCGAATTCGTGGACGAGGCAAATAGCTCGCTCAAGATGATTGTGAGGTCACTACAATATTATCGTGGTCGTGATCACTGTCAGGGCGGTGACTCTGCTTCCAAGGTCTTGCACTAAACGTGTCGTTAAGGGGAGAGACCCCAACGACCCAATGCTTGCAGGATACAGTGCTTCAATGCCCGTAGAGGGCGGCGGGTGGCTGCGATCAGATAGGCAAAGACGATGGCAAAGAATTGGTCGACAAGGTGAACACCGGGTGGAAGGCAAAGTGACAATGCAGGCTTCGCAAGTTGCCGAGATCGTCGAGGTTCTTGATCAGACTCGGTGTAACTAGTGTCGGGTGCTACGGTGAGATGATAAGACGACGGCAGCAGGTACAGAAGCCCTTCTTTCCCTCGAAAGTGAATGACGACAAGGGATGTCGGTCAAGGTGAGGATGGAAGCGGTCGAAGGAGCAGCGTGCACAGGCAACGTTAGGCCGTTGGTGAGTCACGGGACCCTTAGTTGACGTTGGATGCCTGGCTGGCAGGTAGAGGAGACGCACTGTCCAGAGAAAGAAGGCCTTGCCTTGAAGTAGGTCGGCAGGAAGTGAGGTCGTGACGAAGGTAAAGTGAGCGGGAGAGAAAGGAGATGAGACGGTTAGGAGATGGAATAAAGGGCGGAAGGTGAGTGACAAAGGCAAGAAGCAGGCGGAAAGGAATGGCGGTGATGAGAAGAGGGTGGGATGAGATGGAACGAAGTGGAAGCTGGAAGGGGAGGGGGCGTGTGTCACTGGGCGGGAGGGAATCGGGGGGACGAAGACGGGGGACGACGAGAGCGTGAGCGTGAGCGCTGTGGACATGAATGGAGGGAATGGCGGTACGACGGGCAACAGACCAAGCAATCCAGTCCAATCCACCTCATCTGGTGGTTGTCGAGAACAGGCCACGACATGCGTGGATCCGGGGTGGGCGCCATCCCAGGACGATTGGTCATTCATGGCGGTGTCGCACCTCGTAACGCCGTTGTCAACACACCGGCTTCGCACTGGGCTGCTCTATTAGCCAAGTGGATGGAGGGGATAGGACATTGTCGACTGGTGGCAACGGGGGATCCGTCATTCATGGTTCGTTGGGGAACGGCTGAGCGTCGGATTGAACACATGCTGTTCGAATCTCACACTGTGCTACATTGACGCGGTCCAGGGAGGACTTCACTGCCTAGCCGCGAGCAAGATCCCAACCATGCAAGGACGCCAATATGCAAGTTCGAGTTCGAATCGCTCGGCATTAGGCTGGCTGACACTTTGGAGACCAGGAGGGTAATGGAGAGATAATCTAATCCCCAACTGGAACGTGGTACAAGCGGCACCGTTATCACCTTCGTGTAACCTCAAGTTCTTTAAATGCTCCCTCTGAAGACAAACTCCTTACCCCGTTGTCTGTACGGAGCACTAGAAGGACGATAGAGTTCCGGCCGTCCACTGTTATTGCACGGTGCAGCATTGCTGTCTTGGAGGGAGCCAATAAACAAATAATGCCACGTAGGCTATTGATTGATTGGTTAGCTATTGACATGGCCCCGCTTTCCACAAAATGACAGACCAGCCAGCGTGACCATAACACAGTGTACTGTCAGCCCCCTTCGTCAAGCAAGCCGTATCCCCTCTGATTTGCTAAGGCTCCAGTGAGGTTACGAGCCCCGCAATGCCCATGCTGATAGCGGGTAACCGTAAGGTGACCCGTCAATCGCGTTAGGCCTGTATTATGTTAAATGTAGCGATTTGTACGGAGTAAGATTTATGATATTAATACTCTTATTACCACTTAATTTACTAGTAAATAATTGTATCTTTTTAATTTAGCTTCTCGTTAGATACCTAGGTACCTACCTAGGTACCTAGGTATATATCCCTACAGATACTCGATTGTAGCCTTAACACACCAGAGGGGATTAATGTTGGCCCCGTTCTCTTCTCACAGGGCACTAGCATGTACATACATAACTTTGAATTGGTGATAAGGCCCAACCTGGGCAGATTGTAGCCTCCATGAGCCAATCATGATGACCTTTCATCAAGCCTGCGCAAGCTTGTCTGTACTCCGTGCAGGCCTCGGCACCTGGGATGTCCCCCTGGCCAATGCATGCAGACATGATGGTGTGCCTACACCGCCGATCGCACACCGATCGCACAGGACAGCCCCGAAGGTACTCTTCGTTCTGAGGTTCATTACTCAGTTTTGAAGTCACCACAAGTGTCTCCTACAGATTTTGTAGTATCGTGCCTAATGCGGCCACGAAACACGCCCACCGCACAGGAACAAACAAGCTTAAGCGCCAAAGCCTGCTCGACTGAGTAGTACTGGTCACGAAGTGTACGTATCTATGTACTCCGGACCTGGGATTCACCCGAAAAATTGCCAACAACGCGTGGCACCAGTAATGGTGACGGTCGTATCTGTTGCTTAGTGTCAGAGGTGTCTGTGGTCCAAGTAAGCGACTTAATGCTCCCGCCAAAAGACGCAATAATTATTTCTTGAGGAGTATGGTCGCTTTACCTGGTGTCTACGCCTCCCCTGGATACCATATTATATAATATCCAAGGTGCTTCAGTGCCAAGATATGAGCTGAGTTGTCTCAACGCAGCTAGCAAGGCATACTCTCAGAGCTATTGGCTATGACAAGTAGAGGCGGCAAGTTGAATCTCATGATTGCAGCTCTGCACTTGTTGGCCGTCTAGCGCCTTATGGCGGAGGCAACTTGCTTATTGCAGCTTACGAACCGCTGGATAGGTGACACCTAGTAGCTATATATCAGTATAGGCGAAAGACGGACCTGCTCACCACATGTCATATTCTCTCGCGAAAGGATACGAAAAAAGTGGCATTATAATGTCATTGTTGATACAATGCAATGTCGACTGGTGTATAGAGGAACCCCGTCAAGTGTCACTGGGAGAAGGGGGTGAAAATTTTTGAAATAAAGAGCATATCCACTCCCCATCCCCTGAAGGTTTCTTATATCCCGTGAAATAAAATACCACTGGGTTCATAGTATGCACTATTCTATAGCTTCATAACCTGTCCATTGCAGACGGGAGGTTGGGCCTTGACCGCCTCTCTGTTCGCAACTCCGGTCTAGTGACCTAAGCCTAAAGTACCTAGGTAGTCAGGAACGATTGCTTACTGGTGTAATCCATCTGCACAACCAGCCTAAGTACCTGGCACTTGGGTACCTACCTACCTAGGTACTTAAGTAGGTACCTACCAGGTACGGTATGGACTCAATCAACCAGACGCTTTCGAAGCTAGCACTTGAGGGTCCACTACTCCCGTTTTCATTCCGTTGTTCTGGGACGACAGACCGCGAACATTCGACGGCGTCCACGGAAACAAACCAGACCGATTTTGAGATACGGCGCGCACAAGACTGCAGGAAAGGCCAGCATCCAAAGACCCATTTTCGGTCCTTTTGATTGCATCGGCTGCCCCCTCAACAAGTTGCTGCTGCAACCGCAAATAGAGGAGACTCCAAATCAGTCTGTCTTGGTGGTGAGTTGCTCAACAGTCAGTATCTCGTCACAGGCATATTTGTTTGAGACTTCGGGTAAATATCGATGGTAAATTTTGGAACCTTTACTTGGATTAGGCAAATAGCTATGCTTGCTAGCAGCTTTGCCGGTTTCAGCGTTATCGTGCTGGACATAGGTAAGCACGTCGCTCCCTTGCCTGTCTGGCCACATACGCCGGCGCCCACTGCAATATCCACAACATACTAATATTCACATCAGAGGGAACTGTCTGTCCCATAACATTTGTTCATGACGTGTTGGTAAGAGTCTGCTTCGTTTCCACTTCACCCCTATGCCGTCCCAACGCGGATGGGCCATTGTTGAGTTGAGTCCAGGCGCTGAAACCTGTTTGACCTCCAGTTCCCCTATGCACTAAGAGCGCTTCCTCAATATCTCGACCTTCACTGGCATGATAGCGCTTTCGCGCAATACCGAGATGCATTTCCTGAAGAATACCGCAATGACCGGTTGGCCTTGGAAAGTCATGTCCGGGACCTAGTGGCGGCAGATGTTAAAGCCCCCTATTTAAAAGCTCTTCAGGGCCTCTTGTGGCAGGAAGGGTATGATTCAGGAGAACTCAAGGCTCCTGTCTTCCCTGACGTGGCTCTCTTCATATCTGAGGCTCATAGTGCTGGCAAGAAGGTAATGATCTACTCCTCAGGATCCGTTCCAGCGCAGAAGCTTTTCTTTGCACACACGACTGCTCAGCCGTCAGACCTGTCCCAGTTCATAACCGACTGGTTTGACACCGTCAATGCTGGTCCCAAGACAGAGGCGAGTAGTTACGCAGCGATTCTATCCACCCATCCGGATGTCGAGCCTTCACGCTGGCTGTTCTTGAGCGATAACCTCGACGAAGTCAATGCTGCACTCGGGGCAGGCATGTGTAGTCTTCCGGTATCTCGTCCAGGAAATGCACCATTGCCTCCTGGAAATAGTTTGTCAGGCATGGCGATACTTGATTTTTCGCCGGAGTCAGATATTCAGATCCAAAAGTCTTTAGCCGCCCTGACAACCAGCAGAGATTGACGGCTGGAAAAACGGACCTCGTGCCGTTCGGCAGGGGTGAACAAAATAATCCCGGAGACCAGAGAGATGGGAAAAGAAGACGTAAAACTCAGCACTAGAAATTAGAAGAGAGTAAAATGCAATTAGCCAACCCAGATGCCCTTGTAAGCCATGAGTTTTTCCAATGCAAGAGCCTCTGACTTCCAATGCCATATCGTCGAAATAGCGGTCTATAACTACATATTTTGCTGATTCTTTGTAAATTAATCACTATTTATAACATATGCAATGTTGATATTTAAAGCTGAACAAAGGTGCTCTTCGGCTCATCCATCCCGCCCCCGGGTGGGAATTGGAGAGAAGAACATTCATAGAAGAATATTCATACCCATATGAAAGGAACATTACTCGATAGAGGAACCGAGAAGTAAGCTCGTCAAAGTGATGGCAAAATTGTTCCTTTTTCGTCCAGGATTCACTTCTTGCTTGGTGAAGCGAATTTCGCCGGCCGTCATATGGTCCCTGACCCATAAGCTATATGCCAGCTTTTGAGTCTTTTTGGAATGCCTCATGGTATATCCCAGAGCCACCATCAGCGAATCTAGCTTTTTATCCGAGAAATAGCGAGAGTTATCAACACAGCTCCGTGGAAGGACAAGAAATAATGACGGAAAGGGGTCGTCGTTAGGGTTCTGCATTGTATCAGCAGGCTGTCGTAAGAACAATAACGTTCGAAAAAGCATTTGTCCACGCCCTTCCGCTTCGGGGACAAAATTAAGCACTAAACTCAGTGATATTATGTCGAATTCCTCGGCCGACTCCTCCGGCAGTGGTCGTGTCATAAAGTCCTGTTTGAGGATTCCCGGCTCCTGACTGTTCAGGTCTATATGAACCATGTCGAAAAGGCGGCTATTAGAGCAAGCATTCCGGGTACTTAATGATCCGACTTCCAGCATCCGGGGCCGTCTGTCCGCCTTTTTAATCAGATCCACTGGAAGCATTTCAAGTAAAATTTTCGATGTGTCACCGCCGCGTTCATTGCTCTGGCCTTGCAAACTGGCTTGTTGGTATCGATTCAGGCCTCCCAAGTTTGATATTTCCGCAGATATGGCAGCTTCTGCTTTTTTGTCTCCTTGCGCTATCGCCTGGCGCTGCCGTTTCTCCAGCTGATGATGTTTATTGATCAAATTTCGACTTGTCTTCCGCGACATGGATCGCCGTGCCAGCTGTGCAGTGGGCGGCCTACCAGCATGGAGACTTTTGCGTGGTCTTCTCATTTGATAGTTGCAATGCGAACATGCAGTAGAGGAAGTGTGAAGTTGTTCCTAGGCCAGAATTTTTTCCGCTTATTAACGACGGTCCTATTTCTTGACTCTCCAAGGTGCTGTAGTGTATTTCACAGCTTTTCAGCACAACAAATTATATAAAGCTGGCTTCGGCTTGTGATATGAAAGATTGCCCACTGATATCAACCAAATCTTTACATCTCAGAACGTCTCAACCTAGGTCCCGCTATTTGCTGAACTACAGTACGTACGTACAGGTGCTGCCAACTCGGGGAAACTACCTAGGTAGCTATCACGTGGAATACATCTCGTGACCACCAAAATTGTGGGGCCTCCATACGAACCCTAATTCAATATTCGCACACAGCCTAGAAACTTGTTACCCAAGCCCTGGCCTGTTTTTCCTAAAAAGCTTCCGTCAGACACTCGACAAATCACCACCTCTGTCGACTTTAAATCAACGCAATGGCTTCGGAAGGAAAGAAAGGTATGGGATAGAGATGGGATCTGGCGCAGCAATGCAACGAACGTCGATGAAAATTTCCTTCTGGATTCGTTCTCGGCATCATGCAGCAGCAGATTTTGCGAGTTCTTGAAATAAGAGCGATTGCTGATGCACTTTCTTTATAGCCGCCCCAAAGGGCTCCAAGCGTGCGAATGCCGCCGCCAAGGCCGCTTTGGTTGGCGTAGGTTTATTACCACCTGAAAAACAAATCAGGAACACAAGTTTGGCTAACACGCCCTTGCTACAGACTCACGCTCATAAGCAGCGCAAGGTCCGAACCAGCACGTCTTTCCACCGGCCCAAGACTCTGGTTCTTTCACGAGCCCCCAAGTACCCTCGCAAGTCGATCCCTCACCAGCCGCGACTTGATGAGCATAAGATTGTCATCCACCCTCTCAACACGGAAAGCGCCATGAAGAAGATGGAGGAGAATAATACACTCGTCTTCATCGTGGATGTTAAGGCCAACAAGGCTCAGATCAAGCTTGCCCTCAAGAAGCTGTATGATATTGACACCGTCAAGATCAATACCCTCATCCGGTATGTTCGATCCCTAGCCCTCTCACCTTCGCCTCGCGGAGACTTTCGGCTCAATGGTAAACTGACTCCAAATTTTGCAAATTAGACCCGACGGCTCCAAGAAGGCCTATGTCCGCCTGACTCCCGATGTCGATGCTTTGGATATTGCCGCCAACAAACTTTCCCTGGTGTAAGGATTGGTCAACTACAACTCGTTTTTGGTTTTATGAAATGGTCTGGTCAGGGATGCACAGCAGGGACATACAAAACGGCGCATTTAAAACTTGTCAATTACTTTAAGGAAAAATGAATGGTGAATTCAAGACCTGGCCGTTCATGACCACGTAAAATCACTTATAAAAGCCGCAGGTGCTGGAAGGCCAGTCAAGCCTCCTGGTAGTGAAGTGATACTGCGTAAAACAGAAGTACAATTGAATGTAGTTGAATTAACTCTGATATCTTACATTTACTCCTTTTCATCTATTTTCATGTGCCATCAATCAACCACCCCCATTGCTTATCGTTAAGAGTCCCCGAACTCAAGATGATCGCATGCTATTTAGATGTTTCATCGTCAGAAAATTCATATCGAGGAATCGATCGACACAATTCGCCAAGCACCCTTCCTCACTGCGATCAAGTTTAGGGTTCTTGATGTTCCCAGTGACGCATTTCTTCCAACAAATCTGCGTCAAGCTATGGGTTTCTGTACGCCAGCCGGCAGGTTAGTACGCTGAGAATACAAAGATCTAAAGGTCCAACGCGCACGAAAATGTGCAGAGAGTGAGGACATGCATACAAATTGCTGGGGCAGAAGCTTTGATGTGAATGATGGGTAGCTGTCGGGGGCGATAGACATGCATTGCATCGCAGGGCGACTGAACATCGGCTTTTGAAGGGCACTTACGTGACTGGATCTGCGAACGCTGTTGCTCGTTGGCTAGGAATTGGCGCAATTCAGCCTTGTCCTTATCATTAAGTTTTTCAAGGTCGAGATTCTCGACACCTGTCTGGGCGGCGTTCATGGCGGCAATGTAAGGAGTGCGAAGCTCGAGTTGTGTGCAGTTTGATGCGATTGAGCTGCGCCGAAATTTTAGCTACGCCGACTGGGTGCGCAGGTGAGCATGATGTTCGGGCTGGCCAATCGCAGGAAAAGCGATGCTCCACTACTGAGCCACCCAGAGGTTGCCTCCATGTCACCTTGATATTTTTACTCGTGCAGGTACCTAGGTAGTCGCCGCCGATGCACTTAAAATGAATATCTGACCAACACACTTCCCAAACCACATAATATTAAATCAATACCAGACGATGGCGCGTGGAGTACTCACGCAGGGGCCACCTGATGAATGAGAGCATTCTGGTCGTGGGAAAATTTTGCAATTAAGAGGTAGGGTAGACTCCCATTTGATGAGATTGAGAACGCGGCCAAATTGAGCACGCGAATGGGGTAGTTCGGGGTCAACTTTTAAAGATATTATGCTACCTGAAAAGAACTCAACATCAAATATTGCGGAGATGCCCTGCACCCATATTATAGGCTTGCTCATTCAAACAACATGCAAAAGACCCGTCTAAAACAACAAGGTACGAGAAGGACAAAGGACTGACCGAAACAACTACCCAGTGAGCCTGGTTCTGCGACCGGCAGGAGGCCATGTAATTCAAACGAAGATGTGTTCCTGGGTAGTCGTGGCATGATAGAGTGGGTGAACCACCGCTGAATCATGTCAACTGCACTAAGATCAAATGTACCTCTTCCAACGAGCCAATCCCAGAATCAGAGAACAAACAAATACCATGATCCCAATGATAGTGAAGAACGCGGCGAGACTGCCAGTGCCTTGAAACGGCACAGTAACATTCATCCCAAACACACCGCTAATGAGGTTAAGTGGCACAAGAACGGATGCAAGAAACGTTATCTTGCTCAAGACACGGTTCGTGTCTGTTCCTTGTGAAATGTTGTTGATAGACAGTGTTGCCAGATAGTTGCTGTGTGCTCGCGACAGCATCTTCTCAAAGTGGCCGAGATTTGTTGCCATTGTAACAACATGATCTTGAATATCGCCCAAATACATACCAATGTCCATGTGCGGTGTGACTTGGTAATTTTCGTTGCATCGCTTGGTGAACCCTCGCAAGACATCAGCCTTACCTCCAAGAAGTCGCATTAAAGCCATGCAGTTTTTACGAACACGGCCTATGGAACGAAGAAACGAACTCGAGTCGTCTTGGCGCATGACAAACACTTCGTCCTCAATAGCATCTGCTTCAAGCTCGATAGTGCGGATGGCAGGGGCAAAGGAATCAACAATATTATCGCTGTTTGGCCACATTGGTGAGTCTAACTGCCGTGGCCATTGGAATGTTCGATATGAGACACTTACATCAATGCATAGCATATCCAATCGCTGCTAAGAGACACGTACTCCTTTAAGGCTGTAATTCTTTTCCGAACTTGAGATGCATGCGAGTTTGGGGCAAAGCTGAAGCTGAGTGTGCCTTCACGAAATACTAGAACATATATGTTGAAGGGCTCATACTCAATACCATCGGGCTCTTCAACGACATTAAAGGATCGAAAGCACGCGAAATAGTATGATGGAAAGAGCTCAATCTTCTCCCGGGCTTCTTGCGTGATAATATCTTCAATGGTAAGAGGATGCACCCCAAACGCCTTGCAAATTCCTTGGACTTCTTCTTTGGATGCGGTATTCACATTCAGCCACCAAACACCATCTGCTTCATCTTCGGGTAGCTCAAAGAGTCCCCGGATATCCTCTCCAGGGAGAACGAGATCGCCCATTTCGGCGGCGTGGATTGTTGACTCCCATGCCGAGGAGAAAAAACTGAAACGATTACCGTCAGTTGTGTGAGGAGTTGGCTTCGAATCGACTTCGGTCGGGCGCTTCTCCTGTAAAGAGTCATCCGATGGAATATCCAATATGTCACCATCTACCGTAGGCACTTGGTTTCGGTGGCTAATTGTAGACTCAATCCGCAAGTCTTCGAATTCAGGAGGCACCGGTCGACTGTGTGCTTGAGCAGCTCGTTCCGCATTAATAAAATTTTCCAAATAGTCGAAGTCGATCCGAAGTTCGTGATTTCTATGACCGTCCTGTAATGGGAAGCATACATCCTCCTCGGCAGCTTTATCTGTCAACAGACTTCTCGCATCCTTCTCTATAGTTCGAGCCCTGCTTCGATGGCTGCGTCGACTGGATATTGACATTGCCCGTCCATGCCCTTCTTCATGGTCGCACTTTGGCTCCGAGAATGACATGTCTCTTTCACGCCGTCGGGCTTGAGCAAACGCTTTAACTGAATTGGGAGGAGAAATTGATCTGCCTTCATTTGTTGTCTCGACCGTAAGCCGACGACTGTGTCGAGTCATCTGTGGTACCTCAAGAGCATCTTCATCTATGATGGCTTCCTCGAAATCTCGAACCCTAATGTCTGGTGTAAAGGGTCCTGCGTCAGTGTCAATTTGACGGGAGCCGTATAGAGAGTCAAACGTCCCTCGGCGTGGTCGCTCTAGCCGTTGCGACACATTGGATTCATAACGATGGTCATCAAGCTCAGGCACAGGCGTATCATACCCGGTGTCGGGGACCATTCCGTCTTGGTCGGACATATTGTACAGTAGTGGCGGTGCTGTCCTATAATACCACCCTCTTGAAGTCAAAGCTGGTTTGTACAGAACTTGCCAGTCGCAATTCCTAGAGAGCTTAGAGAAAAGCGATGAACGAAACCACGGCTTAATGATAAGTGATCATAATTAACGGAGGCGGACTGCCTTTGCCCAAACAAATCGCAAAGTTGACAATCCTCAACCCGGCGCGGCGGATGCGCGCCGAGAATGGTATAGTAGCAAAACCGTTGCTATTTGCAAGCCAGATCACCGGAAGGAGGTGGTAGTGTACGAGTATTGAAAGGCGAATAATCGAACGACAATAGAGAGCCCAAAGTCAAGTTATGGAGGCTTCTTGTTCACTCCGCTATAGACCCAGCAGCCAGGTCCAAGAAGCGAAGAGGGTGGTATGATTGTAAGGGCGAGTTGAGCCAACTTGAAGGTTTATAAAGAGTTATTGAGAAGAATTTTATTCTAGGCGTGGGTTTCCCGCAATAGAACTTTGAAGTCCTCCCAGCGAGATATTTGCCGCAGGGCAGGCTCTAATACTCCTCACCTGGAGAGGAGAATCTGAAGATGTGACAATGGATGCGAAGGATTGTAGCTGCGATGAGAGCAATGCGGCTTGTTTTGATTTGAGCTTTTAGTACTGGCAGAGAAATGATGAGATGGACGGAAATGCGATCATAATATGCCTGCGAGAAGCAGGGAAAAAATCGAAGTCGGTCGAAGCGAGGACCGCGCAGGAAATTTTACTTTTTTCCACTCTTCCTACTGGGGGGAATCGGTCGCTGGGTGGCGGGTGGCCACAATACTGCGGCGCCACTTGACCTTTTCTTCGGAGCGCGGAACGCCCGGCTGGCCACCCGCGGAACTACTTCCGGCTAGGGTCAACCGCTGCATCAATGTGTCAGGTTCAACTTTGGTCTCGTTGCTTGGGCACTCGCGCTGGTACTTGGCCCCTCGGCCCCTTGGCAAGCAGACCCGCACCTGACAGCTGGCAAAGCTCGACGTGGTCGTTCCAAGCATCATCTCCGTCATCAGCCCGCACTACAGCACCGAGGTCCTGCGTTCGACCTAGTCTGTAATTTCTTGAGCCCCCTTTTCGACCTGCCCAGCATTGTTTTTTTCAAGGCCAATCCCATTTCTTGATACATCACTTCGTTGACGACACCACCACTTTCATAGCTATCAGCAGGCTACTCTTGACTACGTACCCAATGGCGGAGGAAATCCTAGACAAGCTCCGGGACGTTGTAGAAGGACAGATTGTATGATATACCGCCCTCGAGTCTTCCCCGCGCGACAAGCTCCAAAATTATGCAGGCACACCTTTGCAAATTGATGTTCTGACAAACCCGCCACAACAGGACTTTGACGGTCAGAGACGTGCCGAAGGGTTTGCCACCTTGCTTCTGGCCCTATCTGCGGTATGATACAGCCCTCTCCTGTCGATCCGAGCCTGCTAACGCATCTCGCCATCAGCTGTTGGCATTCAATATTGGGTATTTGTATCAGGACATTCAGAAGGCCATGTATATTGGGTTAGGAGGGACTGCATTAACATTCATTCTTGCCGTACCACCCTGGCCATTCTACAAGACAAATCCCGTCAAGTGGTTGCCTGCTGGTACTGGATGGCAGTAGGACTGGTTAGGTTTACGAGGTCATAAATTTTATGAATACAGCAGACCAAGGAGAGATTCCAGAATTCTGTCATCAGTTGATAGGTTTATAATTTGCCACGCGTAGCCCGATATCTCCTTCTTTGACCGTGTTAGTGGAACCTCTCCCTCAGGTGATTTTGTTGTTCTATCTCATCGGCCATATTTCTGGAACTCCCAGTCACGGTTATCAAGAGGGCAGACTGATCTAGCCTTGAGCCACCGAGAGATACAGTGGAAATGAAATGCATGCTGCTGTCGCGTTAGAAGTTTTCGTGCTCAGCGCGATCTATGGGCTCTTACATTGCAAATTCCCCACGCCACTGTGCATTCCTCGCTGGTAGCGGAGGCTTGATTGGCTTGACATTCTATGCCTGTTGAGAACGTTATAAACAAGTATTCCGGATGATGAGACAAAGAGTATCATGTGTAACATACACAAGTCCATGATGTGATTACGGCAGATCGCGCAGTTATCAACAACAATGTCCCAAGCCCAGAGTGCGACGGCGTTCCACTGTTGTGTATTTAGCAATCAGTTTGAAAGCTTGCTATTCGATCGTGTATGCAAATTAGGGGAATCGGAGCTTACTTTTTTGACTTCAAACTTTTTCTTGGCTTCGGAGCCTTTCCCATTCGCAACATCTGCTCTTTTGGATACGGAAGGGGCGTCGCTCATTTCGACATCCGCCATGTTGTGTGACTTTGATACTCGGTTTTGGCTTTGGAAGAAACGAACTTGCGAGTTAATCAGTCCAGACTTCTCCACGAACCCAAAGCGGAGATTAGAAATAACGAAATGTGATGTCTACAGTGAAGTTAGCACGATGTGGTAAACATGAACTCGATCCTGAGCCACGATGCAACTATAAAGGATGGTTGGTGACCGTCAGGAGCCTGATTTACCTTGATAGCTCATGAGCCACAGGCTCGCAAACAGGCGGAATTTCGACTTTCCGTAGCAAGTTTGTATCGAGGACTGAAATATTGCTGGGCAGAAAGCTTCGTCTGAAGAGCAGGGGCGGTAAATCAGCGGTTGGAGAGGAAGCAGAGTCCGATACTGCTTTCCAATACTGCCTGGGATTGTTGTGACGTGAGACTTGGGTCGTGAATCCCTCTAGTTGCTCCTCAACCCTGGGTGATGCGGTGGGGCCTTTTCCTGCAGCACAGCACAATAAACGCGCAATAATCGCCTTGGCAGACAACTTTACAGCCCAGATGTAGGCTTGAGTTCATGTCAAACAACCTGTGATGAGTCTGGCTTTGTCCCAGGCATGAGCCATACGGGCAGTGCAGGAAAGCGGCGCGTGTGGATATATGCAACTACCGGGTCCATCCCCGCCGCCGAGCTCTAGCCTCACCGTCCCCTCCAGTTGAACCCGTTGTGGTCCTAAAGTGAGCAACCCAAGAAGTGGGTTGTCTTGGCCAGATGAGGCTCACCAGCCAGAGATCTTTCTTCCAGTGCTCTCCGATACTTTCATCCCAGCCATCACATACGCAGTGCCCATTCACCAGCGTTTCTCTCTCGCTCTTTCGTGGTGCCGTTAATGACACGGGCGCAAAGAGCTTATTACCAGCGAATGACCGATCAGAGGCTCTTCACCTTGAAGCGATCAATATTCTAGCGTCCTGCCAGTCCTGTCAAAATACCATCCATAATCACAATGAGCGAAACACCTTCACAGCAAAGGACAACTCCGGCTCGTCGGAAATACGGCCGACAGAACACAAAGTCGGCAGCCCAGAAGGCATATGCATCTGAGAACGACATCGCTGTGCTCGAAACACCACGGACTCATGCGCCGAGAACACCAAACAAAATGAGCGAAACTTCTACTCCGGCTAGCGACTTTTACTCATCGCAGCACCCGAATAGCAAAAGCAGAGCAAAGAATAGGACAAAATCCAAAAATGTTCCCCCGTCCCCTGACTCTACACAACACGGTCGCCAAACGCCCCCGCAGCGATCCGTCTCGATCAAACCCGGCATCAATACCGCATTTGCAGGTGCTACTTTCCATGCATCTCCCGCTCCATCCGCTCTACCCATTCCAAGCTTTCTCTCCAAGCCCTCAGGCGAATCGCCTGTTGCACTGGGCAAGGGTGCACTGAGAGTCCAAGAACCATCGCCACCCTCAACTGACGGAGACGTCCTCACGCCATTTCGACCATCATCAGTACCCAAGACGAATGAGTCACCGCTAGACTTTATGTTTCGCGCACATAGAGAAGAAAAGGAGCGAAATTCCCGAGAGAATATTTCAAGTCACTCTTCCAGACCTTCGGAGTCGCCGCAACCTTTGCAACGGAATGACGTGGGAGGACCTTCGAAACCGTCAAGTGTGCCGCATCAACGGCGAACTTATTTCCGGCAAGAAGCAGGTGGTATAAATTCTCCGGAATTGGATGGTACACCCGGCAGATCGCTTGGTCCAGCATTCTCAACCCCATATCAAGAACGAATTAAAGCTGCTCGTTCTACCTCGAACAGTAACATAAATCTCACCAAAGGCCAGACCGCTGGTTACTTAAACGATTCAGAAGCAGTAGAAGACCCGACGGAAGCGTTAAAGAAATATCTTTTTGGCAACAAGAATTCTATCACGGCTGGTCCGTTACGAACTACTACTGAGACCAAACCTGTACCCCAGACCGTGCCTAGCGCGGGCATTTCTACATCAACTGGGACCGAGTCAGGGACGAAGACTACTCGCGCTAGTAACATTAAGGAGATAGAAAATGATCTTCGGCGGATTTTGAAGTTGGACATGACCTCGGGGTCAGACTCTGAGAGCCGTACTCTATTTTCGAGATGATGCATCATTATCGCCAGGCTGATGTTGAGTTTTACATGGTTCACAGTCAATTTGTGGTACTCTGAGCTTTGGGTAAATTTCGGGATCTGGAGTTGTGTGGAGGAATCTGTTTTTGACGACTTTTTCTTACGCGCTGGAGCCTTTGCATATTGCTATTGGTCGACAGATGTTTCGTATCTGGCTCACAAGGCAACTTTGAATCCGTCTATGTTGTCATATACGGAGCTTTGCGTAGAAGACGGTACTACAACCTTGAAAAGCATTTTGGACTTTGGATTTTCTTTGTGAAAAGACAGTCGTGGTCAACATTTACGAGCATTTTCACATATTCCTCCAACTGGGTTCGTGATACACTGTAGGTTTTGGTAGCACGGCATCAGTCAGTATGACAGAGCACGAAGACATTGGGAGGGGCATGTGAGTACATGCAAGTGCACAATTACTTGAGCTTGCACATTTAGGTGGCATTTACATGACCATAAATTAACCTATATCGAACGATTAACTACACTACGCCTGTGCATATATTCGGCAACAGTTCTAATGAATTGATTCATTCAATTCAACAGACAGCAATAGTGCGTATTGTTTCAATTCTATGCGATGGCGAAGAATACAACGCGAATTCTCACAACGCATCATAGTACTTGACGTGCAGCATTGCCAAATTTTTTGTGAGGACTAACTTCGGTACCTAGGTAGATAAGTCCCTTGTGGTGTTCCTTGATTGTGCTTGCTTTATTTGTTGCGTCGGCTCCGATTTCGCTCCTCCCTGGAAAAGAACACTCCATGTGATAGAAGAAGGTACTTTGCAAAGAACTTGGTCGCAAATTCATCGAACTTGATATATTCCGCACCAAGGCGGTACGCTGCTGCAATTCCACTTACGCATGCCAGTTCGTGCATGTTCTGTTAAATTACTCTAGATTAGCTTCCCTTGTCACATGTAAGACCCCAGTGTGCAAAAGAGTTGAATGAAGTGATCAGTCCTTGGGGAAGGCAGGCACTGAGGAAGCCCGTCGGTTACTCACAACAAGGGTCCATGATCCAGCAAAAAGCGTTCTGTTTCTTCCATTGAGAAACATCATTCCTGGAACGACGCGAAGGTAGTGTTGCCACTTGTGACCAAGCTGATGCCACTGGTTGCGCTTGATAATTTCCGACTCGTTAATTTCGTGTATTGTCCAAAGACTTTCTTGATTCTGGTCAAGAAAGATGGTTTGGTACACCGGCTTTAAATGGTCGCTTCCTCTGGCTTGCCCTTTCACCAGTTGATGCTGGTAGTTGCTGCAGTTGAAAGACATCTCGATCAGACGTGGGTTGTTGCTATATGTGTGTGTAAAATACATTGGCCGAAAACCTGCGGACTCAGCCTTCGATCCATTTGCAAAGGCGATCTGTTGCCTTTGGTTTTCGGTCCTTGGGGCTGCACAAAGCTCCTGCTGGAACTGGGTCTCATAGTATTTTTCGAAATATGTCTTGTCACTGTGTGTGACTGTTACATCGTCGTAAAAGGAAGCCCCTCCCAGGACAAATCTTTCACGCCACGAAGCCTCTTTACCTAGTATCCTGAGACTTTCGTCTGCCAGTGTGCAGAGCACAAGGTCATCAAAGTCTTCGTCTGTGATGGCTCCATCCCGAAGGTCTTTGATACGGAGCTTGACTCCATTTTTTGACCTGGACAGCACCGTACATACTTCAGATCTTGTTCGAATATTGACGCCTCGCCCGTCTAGGTATTCACCCCACGTTTTGTAAAATCGGCCTAGGTTGTTAAAGGTATACATAGTGGGCAAATTTGGAAGCAATGTATGGCTATCATAATCCCAGAGTTTCATGTTTGGGTCATCAAATAATCGCTCAACAATACCACATGGAACGTTCGCAGTCTGATTCCCGGTGCCCAAAAACAGAGCAATCAGTGGGTACACCATTTTGTCGCCAAAGTCCCTTTTGAAGAAGAATATTCGCAGCATGACTGAGATGGGAATAATTCCAATGATTGGAAGTGCCCATTTAATGACCTTGAGGAATAGCCCGAATCGCCGGATATCCGAGGCGTATCGCTGGACAAGTGTACTTGGAAACACGTTTGTCCAGAATCCATCCTGACCTTTACCAAACGAGACTTGTAGCTGCACTTCTTCGGGAGGATACCCTTGTTCATTGAAGAAGTTGAATGTATGTTTGAATATCTTCGGATGATAATTTGTCAGCATCAGTGAGTCTTATCATATACACTGGTCCGCAACATACCTTTGATCCACCCTGCACACCATTATTCATCCAACTTGCACCATATTTGAGCTCATCGAGGGGTATTGACGTAGCTTGCCCACCTTGCACTTCGTTTCTCTCGAGAATCGTCACTTTATATCTATCTGGGTGATTGGCTAATGTTGCTGCGCAAGCCTATCTCCGGCTCTTTAGCATTACTTGGAAACAGAAGAGTGACAGAGGATCCTGTGCACCTTGCTACCTACTTAAGTAGAGAGCCTCTGCCGTGGAGTTGAAGAAATACTTACCATGCCCGCAGCGCCGCCCCCAACTATGGCGACGTGCTGCATCCGTCTATCTGTAGGCTCCGTCATCGCAAGATTGGTAGCATCTACTCGGTCAGTCACTTGTTAAGCCGTGACTCTCTCTGGGGTGCGATCAAAACAGGTCTGAGGATACCCAAGTAGGAGCAAAAGGGAGTTCTGGTTGTAAGTGAATGGCTGTCCCGCGCTTAAGAATTTTAGGTAGCCAGCCGTTCAAGATGGTAGCTTCCCGAGAACACATTCCGGCCCAGCAATCCTTTAAGTATAAACCAGTCTCAAGGCTCCAGGAATAGGCTAGTGTACTTGTGTGTGATGTGGTTTGATCAATGTCGATGTGATTTCTAGGGTGTACGTCATTGACTTTCCATCTAGATCTGGGTCAAGTCATTTTAGGGCCACTTCCTCCCTTGCCCTCTTGTCGCGATTTACTTGGCTCGGCATAGCATCCAGGTCTCGTTGCTGGAATATTTGTCGTAGTGGTCTGTAATTTCCCGGAAGCTACATGATGAAGGCTTGAGAAAGGTTTTTCTTCCCGAGTTGTATTGATGCGATTGCAATTGCCTGACGCTCCGATCTCTGCCGTGTCTCCGACTCCAGCCTGTAGGACCCGTGGGATCTGGATCCGAAATATGTATGATAAAAGGCCAGCGCATGAGTCAAGTATATATGGCCCATTTCATTTATACATGTAGAAAATGAATTTCTACCTGGTCGTCCTAAAGAGTATCGTATTATTCGTGTGCCAACACTGAGTTGCAGTGAACTTGCTTCCCTAGACGGCTACTGCTCACGTGATTCCGCGTCTGAGGCGCATCCAACTTCGACGCGTTCAAACTTCGTCTCCTCACCGCCATGAGATTTACCTTGAGAGGTATGCTGCTAGCTCTATTGAGCGACTCTACTCCCCTTTGAAAGCAAATACTGGTCTGCTACCTAAATTTATTGTTCCCAATTTCTTCAGTGGTTCGTAATCATATATTGGAATCATGGCTGCCAACGAAGAGCAGGAGAACAAGCAGCTAAAATCTTCTATTACTCTGCCACTTCAAGAACGGACGGATAAAAAGGACGAGGACATATCAAGGCACTCCGATATACCACAGGGAATACCGCCATTCAGTTTCGGCTCTCTCAACAGGAAGAAGATGGAAGAGGAGCGACTCGCAAGAATTGCTACCAAGCGGCATCGCATATGTGACGAGGAAGATGCTGTGCAAATACCAGGTCCGAAACGAGTGGCAATATCAGCGATGAATACGAATTCTAAGGCCACGGTGCCTTTTCCGAGGGGCACGGTGAAACGGACATGGGCTCGTGGGTATGACAGGTCACCAGACGACATCAAGATAGAGGAAGTGCTCCAAAGGGACAAGCTAGTGCTTGCCTTAATTTCCTCCTTCCAGTGGGATGAGGCGTGGCTCTTGTCTAAAATCGATACTTCGCGTACCAAAGTATTGCTGGCGGCTTTTGCCCGCGATGACGCCCAGGTTAGTTCACGAGCGGCAGCCATCCAGTGTAATTTTTTCGGGGATACGATGCTGATCAGCTAGCAGAAACAGGAAATGCGTATGAATGCCCCCCAGAACATCAAATTCTGTTTTCCGCCTATGTATGGCCCTGGGTCCATGCACTCTAAATTACAGATCCTAAAGTTCGCCGACTACTTGCGGATAGTTATCCCTTCAGGCAATTTAGTTCCACATGATTGGGGCGAAACGGGTGTAATGGAAAATGTGCGTACTCTCTAAAATGGCTACTATGTACCATACTCTACTTTGCTGAATCTGACATACTTAGATGGTGTTTCTAATTGACCTACCCCTCAAGACTGCAAACGACCTAGATCCAACAGCAACACCATTCTTTACTCGTCTACAGCATTATCTCAGGGCCATGGGCGTTGATAATAGCATGATTGACAGCTTGTCGAGATATGACTTCTCTGAAACCGATAACATCGGTTTTGTGTATTCTATGTAAGTCTCCAAGGCATTATGTGGGAATATATGTCACTAATCAGCAGTAACTAGACCTGGAAGCCACCAAGGCGAGTCTCTATCTCGGGCTGGTTCGTTCATGTCCCAATGGAAACGTCATCTATGAAAGTTAACGCGTCGTACCCAGGGTATTCCGGCCTGGGGACTACTGTCTCAGCTCTTGGTTTAGCCACAAGTAACCCTATTGAGGTCGACTTAGCTGTGCGTTCATTTTGACAGCTTGAAGGGCCAGAGGCATACTAATTATGGGCACAGTGTGCGTCTCTGGGGTCTATAAAATACGAACTGGTCCAGGCAATATACCGTGCTTGTCAGGGTAAGTTGAGCCCAAACAGATGTTTAAAAAAAGATAGGTCACGCTGCATGGGTTTCTAATGGCTGTCAGGGCATGCTGGAATGAATAAGTCAGAATTAAAACATGTTGGAGCTGGTCCAAGTCAGAGATCTACTTGTTCTGAACTCCAGGATAATTTTCGAATTTATTTCCCGACTCACGAGACGGTCACAAAAAGTCGAGGAGGGGAAAATGTCAGTAGACAGATTGCTGTTTTAGGTACAATCTAACAGAAACTAACTCTTTTTTGCTAACCAGGCGGCGGGAACTATATGTTTACAAGAGAAATGGTGGCGTGCCTCGACTTTTCCCACTGAGTTAATGCGCGATTGTGTCAGCACCCGGGATGGTCTACTACTGCATACCAAAATCATCTTGGTGAGACAGAAGATCAGCCCAGAAGCAGGTACAAACAAAAAAGTTGCGTGGGCATATGTTGGCAGTGCTAACTTATCCGAGAGTGCATGGTAAGTTGGCATCATAACCGAAACCCGAAATACTTTCCATTCCAGGCCATTAAAAATCGTGTATTGTTTTCATCAACGTCTTTGAAAACTTGAGATAACAACTCGACAGGGGCCGCTTGGTGACAGACAGGGCTTCGGGGCAGAAAAAGATGATGTGTCGCAACTGGGAGTGCGGAGTTGTCCTACCTGTTCGTGCTTTTGAACAAGGAAGTGGCCCTGTTGACATGAATGTTTTCCAAGGCACAATACCAATCCCCATGCAAGTCCCAGGACGACGGTATGTCCCAGACGAGCATCCCTGGTTCTTTCACAGGCACTTTGGAGTGCCATGAAAGCGCTCTAGTACTCCGTACAATGCTAGCCAAGGACAAGGACGGCGTGTCCGACACAAACTGTGGATCCACGACATGCGCAGGGTTATGTTCAGCAGAGCATGCATTGAAATTGGCCGCACGAGTATTCATGATATGGAGATTGCCGACGGCTACTGGATTGAGACTCCGTTGTGGCGCCTGAAGGGAACAAGGGTATGTCCCAATCGTGCTACGGGTCAACGGTAGGCAGACGGACTGTTCATCGGAACGGCCGCGTTTCAACCGGCCTAGTGCCAAACATTTAATACATTACTTCCTGTCCGTGTGTCGGAGGAGAAACAAACACGGATCCGGTTTGTCTGAACAAGACTTCCCCGATTAGTATGATTTACCGCCTGGAAGCAACATTGTCTCGGTTGTGAACCATGTCGGAAATATACAAACGGAAAGTGACCAATTGCAGGTGAGCTCGCATGTGGGCAGATGCAACATGACAGTAATTAGGCTTCAGATAGCATGCATATTCCATCTTCATGACCCGTGTTCATGATCAAATACATAGTACCTCACTACGAAGACACGATAGACCTTGAGTTTTCACAGGCGCAACAAGCCAGCTACTAATACTCGATAGGCCCTAAGAGAAGTAAGTCCCAAGAAAAAGACAGCTAGCCTAGATCGGTTGGCACTGGAGAAACCGAAGTGTGGGAAATCGTACGAGAACTGATCATCGGACCTGGTAGCGTAGCCGGCGCGCCACTGCCCCAAGTTGTGCTCGAAACGGCCGACCGATTCGGAGTAGTGCGATCCAAGATACTGTCTCATCTGCTACATGTGCACTTTTTTTTTTTTTTTTTGCATGTGCAACATTGTTGCCATTGTGAGGTACGTTTAAAGGCCATACACTACTAGGTGCCTCGGCGAGCAGGCAGGCAGGGCAAGCGGCTATAGCTAGATCTCAGGGATCTTGGCATCGTGAGAAGTAGCCATGATCCTCAGCAGTAGTAGTTGGACCAGCATGGTCAGTTGAGTGAGGATGCGTGCAGATCGCGTGCGCTAGTGAAGGGGCAGGACGAGAATGTGATGGTGGGATGAGAAAGTGGGATGAGAGGAGCATCTGGAATGTGGCGCCGTCTTTGGAGTGGGCATGGAGTGCCTTGACGGTCCGCTAAACTCAGTTGCTCCATTGTAGCCAAGTTTTTGGACATGGACCAGACACTCTTGCAGTCCCGGTTGCAAATCCTGGTTTGGTGTCTGGCGGCAGGCGCCAGAGGGGAAAACGTGCATCTCGGGCAAACATCGACTCCCACTGGGGCACAACTGGGGAGGTGTGAAGCTTGAATCACACTCAACCATACTCGCAGGAGTCCATACGAATATTGTACGTACTGCACCGAGTAGCATCGCCCCATCCTTGTTCCATGCTTTGTTCTTGGCTGCGCGAGAGAAGGGCTGTTGGCATAATTTGCGCAAGCGAGTAGGACGTTGGTTTCCACGAGGGGTTATTCATGGGAGTTTCTACGTCGTACGTACTAGACCGGACAATACATATGATGTGTCAGTCAGTTGACAGCCGAACATCGGGAATGGCCAGGAGATCTGATCGTACACGATATGTCGCTGTGCCGCGCCAATAGGGACGAGCCGGTAAAACCAACCACCTTGGTCTTGACACCCGAGTCATGCAAAGAGCAGGCTTGAGGGGACAAAGACAACTACATCTCATACGTAAATACCTACCCAGGTAGGTATTCAACCATTGCATACATACATACATATACGAGCAAAAACTACTAGGTATCCAGGCCATTGTCACGCTATCCACCAAGGGAGGAACCTTGGTTGGCCTATAGCCTGAATTGTCTCGTGTCATTTTGCAAGTTGCCTATCGCCTACTGGGAAAGCACCCAGCCCTGAATTTGATGACAGTTCCCATGATTCCCGAGATCCTGAATCGATCAACTAACAAGTTATTCCAGATTTCCCAGCTCGGCCCAATAATTGTGTGGACATGTACAATATGCTTCACCACCATCCATCCCCTGATAGGATAGGTCGGGTGTGAGCCATTGTCCCGTCTCCTTGGGATCAGTCCTAGGTGAAGGCGAATAGGACTAGAGGCAATGATCTGCGTCAAGGTCAGCTCTCCGGGCCACACGATTCGGCACTACCAAAGCATTCCCCTGTATGCAATGTGAAGTGTTGCAAACATGGGACTTGGTTAACTGGGGCCCTCGGGAGGCATCTTGACCTCGCAAAGTGGAACAAATGAAGATATTTGTTGGCTGGCTGGCTTTTTGTAATACCTGCAACATACCAAGCTCTACAGATTCAAAGATGGCGAACGACGGGAGAACCCATGCGAGTACCCCTTGGCTACACACATATATCTATATATATGTGTGTGTATGCATATATGTACGTCCTGCCCAACTTTGCAAACATTTGTGAGAAACACGGTTAGGATGAATTGCCTTTGGAGACGCGATCTGCCACCCGGAATTAGGCGCAATAGATTTGACGAATATAAATGGAGGTGCACATCAAGCATCTACTGCAATATCGGTTCTCTCAATTTTTAATGAAGGGGGGGAGGGAATGGGTATGGAGTCCTCCGTATTATTTACTCTGTGGTGACAAACTTTACAATAGAACTAGTAGTTACTCCGTTGTACATACATAATAATAATACATTGGAGTTGGTTAAATTGACATTGCCGTCATGGGGTCGTCGTGCAAGATTCAGCTGGGATGGTTCAATTGGGTGGCTACCGGGATGCAAGGGTGTCGATGCACGCTACACACGTGTGTGGACCAGGGTCAATATCAACCCTGGCACCATTGTGGCAATAAACGGCCGCCGTCTTGGTGATCTGGCCCACAGCGGCATTACTGTCAATGGTGTGTACCTCTCAGCAGCTCACGCACTACCATGATGGTGTTGCATTGCAGTGCGCTTGGTTGACAAGTCTGCATGCGGTAGATTCAACCCGCGCTATTGTGTCTGTACTAATTTGGACAACGAGCCAAGAGCTGGAAAGTTGCAAGTCGGGCACTGATATCAGGACTAATTAGCCAGAAATATGGCACCGAGACATAGCTGTTCAGGTAGTACTCGAATCCTCGCCGAGGAGCAGATCGACTGCCCGCTCTCTGCATGCAGAAGAAATATGCTTCTGTCTGAGCCCCGAGGATAGCGGATGACATCTGTGAAGCACATTCGATACAACGCGTCGTGTTGGTGGAGATGGCGAATGGCGATGATATATATATATATATATATACACTTCATTTCTCCACGTTCGTTGCGAAATTCTTCGGGTCAATGGTACGGCTGCTCTGGGGTACGGAGTCCAGGGAGATTATTTTACTTCATTGCACAACAGCTTCATAGCTGGGTGGTCATTAGTACGTAAGACTTGGAGCGTTTTGGGGAAATTTCTTTTTTTCCTTTTTCAATGTGGAAAAAAAAAAAAAAAAAAAAGGAGGAGGAGGAAAACACCCCCAGGTAAATACAGAGGTTTAACGGCTGATTGCACTAGAACGATAAACTTCCGGGAGGCAACCTTATTGTCTAAAGTGGTTCAGGAACTTGCTCTTCGGGTGTTTTGAGTTTGATATGTGTTGTGTGCCACGTTGTGGTTTGAAAATAGGAAAGAGAGAAGAGCAAATAGAAAAGAAAATAACACGCAGTGACTGGGACATTCGAAATTCTCCGCGCTGATAGTTGCAAAATCCTAATCTAATTCTAATTCTCACCTCATCGAGTCGTTTGGTCTCCAATGTTGGTACGTCAAGGTTGCGTGGGCCCCTCCCTTTCACCCTTTCATCAAATCGGCCGGGAGAGAGCTCGGAGACAATGTCGCGAGAACCGATATAACTCTGCAGTTCATCGTCATGTCTACTGGCCTGCAATGTCTCCGGCAAGTTGCAACAAAATACAATATCAGGCTGTAGCCTCAAAGTCTGCACCACTTACACGCGCATTGGTATGGTGGTGTGGGTCCCCGGGCACGAGCTCTTCATGCATGATCGGTTCCTGCGTGCATAATTGTGGAGATGTTTGGAGTTGGGGGCTGTAAACAGTCCAATAGCCACGATGAAATGGTGTTGGGGTCTGGTGTGTGTGCCTTGCATGCATAATAGTTGCTGCATGTGTTGTGCAACAGTGCAAACGCATCGACATGGGTAACACTAAGCTTAGCATACTTGCCCCAAAGTCAGGAACCTCAATTCTCTGGACGGCTTACCATTGCATTGTACAGAGCATTGGACATTGTACGTGGACTGAATAGGTGTATTGACCTCAAGGTTCCAGATGCGGGCTCGATCAACACGATATCGAGACTGCTTGCGGAACTAGTTCAAATTGCAGAGGATGGCACTTACTAATCCAGACCCTTAAAGCCACATGTACTATTATTACCCCAAGCGGTGAAGCCAAAATGCTGTCGGATGCTACTAGTACTACGGAGTAGGTCGCTAGAGCGAAAAGGACACTTAACCACGAGCATACGCTAGCTAGGTCAATGGACTCGACTAATTATTTTAGTCCAGAACCGCTCTTGTCATGTTTCAGACCATCTTATTCCATCCAAATGTCCCCATTTACACCCTAAGGATTTTAATATCTACATGGCGCACGCGGCCAAGCATGTTCTTCTTTGGTCGGGCCCGGCGCTACAAATAGCCAACCACGCAAAGCTTTACGGCGAACAGGTAGGTGATCTATGTTCTGTGGTCAACTGGTCTGTGTCGATCCGAAAGGAAATTGCCATTGGGCTTCCGGGCCGCTCATTCCCAAGGCCTTGGCGCCAAAGGCATGACGGGCAACGAGGCTCAGAATACGTAGTATGATGGCGATTACTAACAACGTAGTACTACCATGACATCTCAATCCGACGCGGCATATCAATTCACCGTCAATTGCTGGTTCCGTCGGGCGACCAACCAACGAAACCGGCTATTGCACTCCGTACATATAGGACATGGACATGCGCGTAAACCAGCGCCTCAGACCCCCCTGCTCGTGCATTTGCAAGCTTCTGCCCCGGCGAGCTTGTTCAGATAACCAACCAGTTGACAAGTCTGGCTCCAGATGTCGTTTCCACCCCCTGTTGCAAGCTGTCTGGTAGCCTAGTAGGTATGTACCTAGCGTAGCGTACGGAGTACGGAGAGTAAGAAACCAGACATGTGCTGTCAAATTCGCCAGGACACGACCAACTACGTCTTCCCCGGCCCTCCCAGCAAGTTCTTGCTTGTCCTTGTCTGTGAATTCTTCTCTCCTTTTT